TCATTTTTCACCATAAATGATTGTGGTTTTTAACAAGAAGAAAATATCACTTTTTACCAAAAATGACAAAAATATTCACCAAAATTAGAGAATTAAAGATATCATTACAAAATGAATAAATCTGAGAGAGGTCCACATGTAGTACCTATATATGTAATATCAAAGCAATTGGACTTGCGGTTTTTAACAAGAAGTCGAAAATATCACTTTTTACCAAAAATGACAAAAATATTCACCAAAATTATAGAATTAAAGATATCATTACAAAATGAACAAATTTGAGAGTGGTCCACATGTAGTACCTATATATGTAATATCAAAGCAATTGGACTTGTGGTTTTTAACAAGAAGTCGAAAATATCACTTTTTACCAAAAATGACAAACATATTCACCAAAATTAGAGAATTAAAGATATCATTACAAAATGAACAAATCTGAGAGAGGTCCACATGTAGTACCTATATATGTAATATCAAAGCAATTGGACTTGCGGATTTTAACAAGAAGTTGAAAATATCACTTTTTACCAAAAAATTACAAAAATATTCACCAAAATTAGAGAATTGAAGATATAATCATGAAATGAACAAATCTGAGAGAGGTCTGCCCAAGGTACATATACACCAAGTATCAAAGCATTCAGGCTTGTAGTTTTCAAGAAAAAGTCGAAAAAGTAAAACATTGACACGGACGACGACGACTGACAATCACTTATATAATAAGCTCCGCTCGACAAAGTTGACAGCGGAGCTAATAAAATAAGATGTGCACATGTAAGACATCATACACAGTCTTAGTGTTAAGTTTGAATGTGATTGGGCAAAGCATGTCTGAGAAAAAGCTCTATATAAACAGAACCAAAATTAATACTGTCAGATGACAGATTTCACAGAGATGTGAAATGTGAATAGTCCTGCATATCACGTGATGACAAATGTATTTTTCTAACGTTTATATCTGTATAACCATCCTGAACAAAACAAAGGTCATGGTTCAAATCCATTTTGCCCACCTTTTCAAAAGTTGAGAAGAAATTCTATTCAACTTTCCAAATTCCAACACTAAATGCCCAACACTAACAAGTTTGTGAATTCCAATCAACATGCACACAAACTAATTACTAATATTCATATGACAAAAACTGTGGCTGATTACAAATCTACTTAGTGACAAAAGACCAAGTGTGGAGTTACAGAAATAAACACACAGTGCCAGAACAAGGGATGACATGATCAATACATACACCTGTAATTTACCTGCACTATGTAGAGCTATTAATAAGCAACTTAGTCTCATATAGTTATGAACTGACCTGCTTTAGGGTAGCTTAATAACCATACGTCATCATCTCTGACTGTAAACGTTGACATTGCATTGAACACACTGAACGGAACACATTTGGGGTATACAATTCCACTATAGTAATTACAATCTTCGGCCTCAACAAACTGTCCATACATAAATAGTCTGAGGTTTTCAGATGACATTGTGAGTATATTCTACTAGAAAAATATACAGTTGACAATGTAGAATTAAAATCTATATGGGTGTTCAGAAGTCTGTAACTATAGGCCGTCTGTCTCACTTGGTTACACACTTGGTGTGGTTGACAAGAATTGGTGTTTTGATCACACTTGAAAACAACATATATCAACATTGTTAGTTTCTGTTGTTTTTAATATATATGTATAAGTATCTATTATTATTATACATCTGCCACCGTAACGCCATAAGTTACAGTGTGCCAGAATTTTGCGGTATTTTACGAGGTATTTTCATCCTACCAATTTTGAAGATGCAAATTCCAAATATTGAATGATTTATGCGTAAGCATCCTCTAATAATAAAACAAACATGGCTGCCACCAGAGGTTGAACGGACTCAACACAAAGAAGTTCGCTGATTCTGTTCTAAACTTTTTGGATTTTGGCATTGCCATGGTGTATCCTTGGAAGGAAAAGATGTATAATAAATAAGGTTATTACGAGGATACCTCAACGTATTCACTCAGACAGTACGCCACGCATCGACTTCCGCTGCGCAGCGGTCGATACTCCAGCTGTACTGTCTTCGTGCATACTTTGAGGTATCCATCGTAATAACCTCATATTCTTAAAATATAAAAACAATATATGAATGAAAAAATAAAGACAATTTGCAACCAATGGCGAAATATAGAATAGAAAATGATCACCTAATACACTGAGAATTATTGCTGTTTTGTTTCATAGAAGATGTAGTAGCTAAGGCTGGTCCTAGTGTATGGTTTCCCCCATAATTAATATGAATTTATTCTGACTGTTTCCTCATCAAAATTTGGAACTTTATTTTGTGCAGTCAGGAATAATTTGACATTTCATTACAAAATGTTTCTCATCCTCAATTATATGAATCACAGCTGCAAAGCCCCGGGTATAAAGCATTCGTCCCTTTCAAGTTGATAAATAACCATTCTGGTTGGAAACAAATCATTTAGGAATATATACAATAGTGTTTTCTATCTGTATCTTTTTCAAAATTGCCAGATATGACGATTCTAAGTGTCTAGAAAATATTCGTTGTTCAAAACGACAAAACTTCACCCTGGGATACACGCGACTGTAGTCAGTCACGGAGTAACGGTATTCAGGGTCACTTTAACGATTATATCATTGTAAACTGAACATTACCTTTACTGTATTATAATGCCTACACACTATAAATATAGCTGAATATTTTACAACGAAATTAATTCCGGCGGTTTCCGCGAAACAACCAGAAAGAATGACACTATCAGCTGAACTTCAAAATGACGGTTTATAATGAGGAACTACATGAAACACTAGAGGGCGCCATCATGTTATGTTTAAAATTAAATTGTATGCGAATGTTATTTTTTGCCCAAATCAACCAAACATGTGGTTCGAGCCCTGGCGTAAAAGTCACCTATTGTCGATCTAACATGTCCCAGCTAAGAACCACAAATAACATAAATTGTGATCCGTATTCATGGATGGGTTGGGGAACTAAACCAGAAGTTTAAAGCACGGTGGTCGTCGCGCAGGCGTGTTCGAATTTCATGTAAATAAACAATGCGTTGTATACGACGCTATGAGTTCCATATCGAACAGGACGTGGCACGACGACTGCCGCCCTTTAAACAACAAACTTCAGGCATCTGTCGAAGTCAGGCGTGGCACATCACCAGGCATGATTCCAAAACTCGGACAAATATTGTATGATTTCTGCGGTAAAATACGTGTACACAATAAGACAAATGTAGCCATTATCTTTCACACACAAAAAACCGATTATATCTTGTCTGGATATGCAGTGACTTCCAAAATGATCCAATTGCTATCATACTAAAGGGAGGCATCGCATAAATGAAAGGTACATTATAAAATAAATCATATTTATTTCCAACTCTGTTCAAAAAGAAATGTTGTATTTGTATTAAAACTGTTAAATTTTGTATTTGTATTAAAACTGTTAAATTTTGTATTTGTATTAAAATTGTTGAATTTTGTAGTTGTATTAAAACTGTTCTCAGACTGTCACCAACATTCAGTTCAATACAATTTTGTTGACAGAATTATCTTCTCGACTTCAACGAGTAATAAATTCGGCCACTCAGTAAACTTGTCTCGTGCTGACAGGATTGTGCCTGATTAGCTACTCTCAATGAAGATGGTTTGTTGACATGGTTTTCTGCCTTGTATATAAGCTTCGATTTAACTGTAAACGTTAGATCACTGTCAACAATCCATTCCTTGTATTTTTCATCAAATAATTTATTCTGCCCTACGGTGAACTGACTCTTCCATGAACCGACTTTACCTGTAATACAATCACATGGAATTGCGTGTAATTGGAGTCAAATGCCAAGTTCTATCACCCATTTTGACATTCCTAAGTGTGTCCAGCATACTTGTGTGTAGAGCAGTAACACCGTGTATCGGGGCCTCGATCAAGCAAAAATCATCGGGCTCTCATCACACCTCAACCCCCAAAACAGTCCGTTAATTAACGATCGTGACCTAGTAGAAATACTTCAACAATTATTTAACATGTAATTTAATTAAGTCATTAACTAAAAAACTCAGCACATTGCACGTGCTTATTTCTAATTTGCGTTGTGGAGACGCAGTGTAAAATGTAACACACAGAATACCAGTCATATACATTGCATTGTTCGGTTCTCAAATAAAAAGATTTGAAAATTCGACCTTTCACCTAATCAATTAAAATTATAATTGTGATCGAAATCGTATCATATCTTTGAGAAACTTTTTAAGAGACACGTGGCACATAGTTTTCTGATCGATTAAGAAGAGTTTAAAAGTTCTTTACATACTCATGATCAAAGTTTACTGTGTGAGTGATAACGGTTCATATATTTTTTTCATTTTTTAGAGAACGACGGAACAATTAGACTAATAATCACAATTCTGCGGACCCGGAGTTATATGCAGTTACCTTTTCTTACAAACGGCGACTGTGATTTGTCCACCCTGAAGGCGTCCAGGAGATGCTTCCTCGGTGCATCTTTTTTCATACTTTGAAATGTACACTTGTCAGCAATCACTTTAATTTTGTTCTCCTTCAGACTTATGTCAAGAAATCTCGCTACCTGGCTCACTATTCCCGCGAGATCCTGACAAAAGAATAACGAATACAATGGGGCATGTCACTAGTTTTATCGGTCGATTTTCAACTGTGTTTCAACCCCCACTGTTACAATGCGGTACAAAGAGTGACTTCCAAAGAAACAATGTCTTGCCAAGTACATGTATTTGCTTAAGTCGTCGAGGTCGACAGTATCAACAAAGTGTTAACTGCTCGCATATAAATCTACATTTCCATAAAGCATGTTCTTGCTTTGATGACGTTTAATTAAAATTGTTAATTTTACCTTTTTCATTTGCTCGTACGAAACGAACATGACATTGTCTTCAAAGCGCCTATTCCACCAGTATAGAGTATGATCCGCCCAACTGCCAAAAATAACTACATGAAGAGTAAACTTGAAGTGAACCTCTGTACAACTTCTAGTATAACAGGCTTCACAGACTATCATCTGAAACATACTTGCAATACTTCACATGTAGAGATAATGACCCAGAGAGTTGAAAGGATGGTGGTCGTCGCGCCGCGTTCTCTTCGACGTGAAACCCACAGCAACGTATACAGTGTTGTGTTAAATCATAGACCTTAGAAGGTCTAAGGTTAAATACATTGTTTGGTTAAATTAGCAAAAAAAAGTAAAAGGTGACTTTTATAACCGTTTAAATTCAAATACTAAGTTTATAAAATTTAATAAATAAATCACTCCTGTACTTGAAACATTTGAAAGGTTGGTTCATGTGAATTGCATTTCAACAGACTCATGATTGACCCTAGACGACGAGCTAAAATAGTGGCCGTCGTGTGTGTGCGTGTGAACCGTATTTACCATCATTGTTGATGAACGCATCGTAAAACTCTTGCCAGGATTGGTGTTCGCGTATCATAGGAATTGCTTTGTGGTGGTAGTACATAGACACAGCTACATCTTTAGCGTTCCTGGCTACGTAGATAATCTAAAATAAATGAATAATTAATTAATTAAAATTATTGTATCGGTCGATAACAAAACTAACGGAGTTATTTATGAGGTTAAAATAAATACAGACCGTTACAGACCAGACAAATGTGAAACATTTTAGGAAAGTTTCTGTATTACACAAAACTGAAAGCGGTAGCAAAAATTAGACATTAGGATGAAATGATATTACTACATGTTACCATGATAAACATGTCAATGGCAATCATTAAACCTCTATAATTATTACAAGTAAAAAAAACCAAAACATTTTTGTACTAATTAAAATGTGATTTCGAACTGTACATCACTAGCATTATTTAATTTGGTTTGTCGCCATGACAATAATCATAATTATTCGAGACATCAAATATGCTATCACGTCCTAGTAAAAAAAACGCTGCTAGACCGGAAGTTTTTTTTTTTTTTTTTTTTTTTTATTAAATGAATTCGCCGTCGATCGTTGCTCTCCGTGATACGGATACATAATCGATCAGCATGTTTGCAGAAGTTCCTCTAGTTGATGGGTTTGAAAAACGGATTTGCACGTCGGGGTGTATGTAACTATAATCATAGTTTGACCGTGTACTATAACGTACCAAACATGTATTGTTTATTATTACACTTTTTTTTTTTAAATGTTTTTGTGCCAGGCGACAGTTCCGGACATTGAAAGTCACTGTTGTCTCTCCTGACTTTTTTTTTGTAAGTGCAAATTGCAAGTGCTAGTGCTGACACATAGTGCATTTTGCCACAGAAGTCATTTCCTGTTTGGGACTACATGACAGGGCTGTGTAGCCATCTCCCTATCAAATGACAATTTTAATGCGCTATCCTGGCGTCAACCAGGCCGGAAGTGTGTTCATTGTATTCAATATAGCCTGACATGGTTGGACATAGTTATCGCGCTATTGACAACGGAGTAAACTAATTTGCGGTTCGCAATTCCACGATTGTTGCTGATCTATTATTTTAAGGAGATTTTTTAAATACAATTCATGTTATATTCTAGTGCATGTATTATTATTTGAGGAACATGACTATTAGTTTGTTTTCTGTAATTATGATGACTTCAAATTTTGGTTCAGTAATTTTTCACGCAAAATGTTCAGATATATTAATTGTTTCAGGACTTTTACCATACAAAGATAATATTTTACATCGTTGGATCGTATCCATGTGCATCCATTTATTATTAGATCTACATTCTCAACTGGCAAAAATGTAAAAATTACCATAATCGGCTTTTCATATATGCTTAGATTACAGAGATATCATCATATGATATATAATACCTGCTTTAGGGTAGGTCAGCAACCATATATCGTCGTCCCTTACTTCAAATGTCTTCATGGCATCGAATACAGCCTCGGTAACTAATTTAGGATATCGACGTCCTCCATAATAGTTGTAATCTTGAGCTTTGACGAATTTAGTATGTTCATCCATTCTTGTTTTAAGCTGTAAATTCAATTAAGATAATCGTAGTTATGGTCGGGTATGTACCAAAATTGCATTTTTTTTTTATCCCTACCTCAATTACTACTAAATGTGGGATTACGTGTACATAACAACGATTCGTGGTTGTAAAGTCTACTTGACTTTATATTCAAAAGAATAAAGATCGTACACAAGGATGACCTCAGGCAATGTTCGACAGTAATATTTTTACTGACTACGCATGCGTAATGAAACATACCACTACATAAGGAGGAGCCGTAGCTCTTGCAATACGAGGGACAATGTATACGAGGCACTAACGTTACACCTTTCTTTTTTTCAAGAGTTCATATAGTGTTCATCAATAAATGCAAATATGAACGAATAAACTTATATAAATTCGAGAACTAACTCTAACAAATGTAACACAAAGTGTGAACGATATATTTTCACATGATATGAACGTACAATTTATAACACAAACTTTCTGTAAAAGTCCATCAAGTGGCAACATAGTCCCTCAGGTACTTTGGTGGTCTTGATGTTCTACCACTACACGTTACTGGATAGTCAATTGTTCCAGGAGACGCTCTGTAGTTACTGGTTGTTGCTGGGTTACTTATCTCTGTTGTTTGTTGCTGCGGTGCAGTATTTTTCACTGGCGATCTTGTAGCTCTCGTTTGCATTTCTTTGTCTACCTCGGTTGGTTGAGGTGGAGTTGGCACACTCATGTCTGTATCTGTTTGGATATAATTAAATGGTTCTCTTGAATTTCTGAGATGTCTTCTATTGCGTCTGTAGACTCTTCCATTTTCTGTTCTAATGTCATATGATCTTACGTCGACTTGTTGTTCTACACGAGCTTTCACCCATTGACCAGACCGATCATGCGCTTTTGGCCTCATACGTAATATTTCTCCTTCCTTCAAACTAGGTAGTTCTTTCACCCCACGATTGTAGTACTGGCATTGTACTTGCTTTCTTTCATGTAGTTTGGAGAATTCTTTCTCAGGTATTACTGGTCTTAGCAGTAGACGAGCTGTTGGTAGCAGTGTTTTTGTGCGTCTACCACATAAACGTTGTATAGGAGATGTTCCT